TTACTGGAGTCTGAGTAGTAGGACAGGAGATAGCGGGGACGGCTCCCTGGCTTCTGCTGGTACCAGGATATATAGTAGTCACCAACACTGAAGCCACTGCTCAGGGCGCAGGTGAGTCTGGCAGATGCTCCAGGAGAGGCAAAAAGGGAGGGCGGCTGCGTCAGCACAGGCTGGGACAGGGAACCTGCAAACACAGACACTAATGAATGGTGAGGTAGGCACCAGCAGGATGATTGTCAATGGTCTCAGCCAAAAGACAGTGAATCAGGCTGGGAGCTGCCCTGTGTCCCCAAGGCCTCTCCCTACCTGTGCACTGAGAGAGGAACATGAGGAGGAAAGGTGTCCAGGTCATGGTGGGCACAGTCCCTGTTCCCCACATGGCTGGGCTGCTCCAGGCCTCTTCTTTTCACTCTCTGCCACAGGAGGGGCTCTTCATGCAAATGTGGGTCCATCCAGTGACTGCCCAACCCCTCCCTGAGCCCTGGGCTGGGGCTCAGCTCAAACTGCAGACTGTCTCTCTGTTTCTCACCCGAAAGCAACAGAGAGACAGAAAGTGAGAAATCCTCTGGGGGGATGGCCACGCTGCAATCCCTTCTTCTCCGTTATTTTCTTAGGATTTGGGGCATGCACGCACATGTGCCAGGCAAGATTTTCAAGCCTCCAGGTCCAGAGTTTGAACTGCTATCAACCATGTAGGAGTCCGTTGAAAACCATCATGCCATCTGCTGGTTCCAGTCTCTGTCTACCCAAGACAAGGGAGCAAAACGAACCTGGTCCATCCAGCGTTGGGACAGTGACACTCTCACAGTTGAATTCTTCTCTCATTAGAAAAGTACCCTTTAGGTTACGTGTGTTTGTGTTTCGTAAGGGAGATTTTTGCTATAGGGGGTGTGTGCTCACCAGAGAGACAGAAAGACAGAAAGTAAGACATCAGTCCCCAAGGGGGATGGCCATGCCACAATCCTGTCTTTCTTCTTCCCCATTCTCCACCTCGAATGTTGGAGGTACACACAAATGTGCCCAGCGTGAGTTTTACCCCGCTCAGACCAAGGTCACCTATGTGGAAGTTCAGCTACATAACCATTCCACCAGCTGCTGGTGTAGGACCTTTTTTTTTTTTTTTTAAATGTCAATCATTATTAATTATACACCAAAGATCCAACTCTCCTTGCTGTTTCCAGATCCTGGATGTGAAAAGTCACAGCTCAGTTAAAGGTACAGCAACCACACGTGGGTAGGAAATTGCCCTGTGTATATGTCAGGAATGCACAGGAACCCAGATCGGAGAAGCCTCAATGCAAAGTGATGCGCCTGTGTGGACCTGGGGGATGTGTTGAGTAGGATTACGAACAGGGGTCAAGCATTTGCTAAAGGTCTGAGTCTCAATGTTCCATTTCCCAGAATTCCATGGGCAAAGCCAGCCCTGGCTCTGTCCCTGCTGTGGGCCTGGAGGGAGGTGGGGAGTCTCCCTGGGCTGACCTGGAGTCTCTAGCCAGGGAGGAGGCCCTGGGAGGTCAAGACATGGCTCCTGGTTGACTGGACCCAACCATCCTATGGCACCCCTTGCTGACCTCATGTGGAATCCAGTCTCCTGGACCTTCCTGTCTTTCTACTCTTTTCACCTCCTCACTGTGGTTCCACGGCGGGTCCATGGGGGTGTAAGGACCAGCTCTGGGTTTAGCATGATGTTACTAAAATTAGCAAACTCTGTGCTTCCCTGGGGCTTACAGCTTCAAAGGGGAAAATGTCGAGGCTCAGTAATAACACAGGAAATAGAAACCTGCATCCATCACAAGTGCCGCCCTAGACACGCTCGGGACTTGGGGCATGGAGGGGTCTCAGGGAACACCTGATGCTCAGGCACTGAGAAGGTCTATTTGCTGAGGAAATATGCTGAGCGGGTGTCTCTGTCCATCTGGCGGTATAATATACACACACCCCGGGGCCCAAATGGTGATGTACAGGGGACATGCCACTCTGCAGGGCTGGCCCCACATGGGGTGGTCTGAGGTCCATGTCCCAAGGCCTCCGTGTGCACGCCAAGGACATGAACGTGTGCCCGTGATCTGAAACGGGTGAGGCTGTGCGTCAGTCACCATGGAAACACCGTTTTGGGGGTGCCTGTGTCTTTTTCTTTCTCTTTTCGTGTTTGTCTATCATTGAATGAATCAGTAAATGAATCAAACATAGCTCGGGTCAAACACAAGTGCCTTCCCCACAGTTCTGGAGTTGTAGAAGGTGAAATCTAGTTCCAGCAGAGGGGCATCTGCTGAGGGCCTGGTCCTCTCA